CCCAACTCCAGACAAATACTTAATAAAATTTAAAATCAAGTCTATCTGATTTCAAAGTCTATACTTTCTCCATCACATACCCTGTGTTAAATATCACAGGGGGGTAATTTAGCCACAGTACAACCACAATTTCATACCAGAAAATTTCACCAAATACCATAATAACATGTGTTTAACATGTGAATAAAATAACTTGTTCACAATAACAGATGAATAAAATAATACCTAAATATTTGTAGCAGTATTAGTTGTCTTTGAGTACTGGGTTTAAAACTTTTTATCGTTTTTCTAATTTACAATATTATTTTTATACTACCTATACTGAGCATTTTAGAAATAGAAAAAATACAATACACTTCATTTTACAATACCAAAATCCAAGGAAGGTGAAACTGTGTTATATAGCCCTTATCTGACACTCACAGTTCTGCTGAATAACAATGGGAACTACACAGCATTGAAACAAGATTTTTGGTTGCTGGCCCTTCAAATCACTGCAGACTAATGCTCCCTTAAATTGGGAAGGTGTTAAAGTTACAAAAAGGCCTATTTTTCTTGATAGTTGATGCTATAAGTGGTATGTCTTTAATACCCTATCTCTATAAGAGAATGAGGACAGTAAAAGTAACTTAGACTCCTAAGTTTGTGAGAAAATGCACTACAACTGAGCACAGTTTAGACTTCACTGCCCAGGGAATGAGGATATGCTGTGAGAAAGGGCAGGTAATCATGCAAAGAGGAGGGAACAAAATAGAGTAAAAATGAACAGAATGCACTGCCATGTTTCAGCCTACACACACCTTTGCCTTTTTTTTTTTCTTCCCCCCATTTTTATCCGCACCAAGAGCTTGAACACAGGAAGCAGAGATGGAAGGAGAAGTGGACTTTATCCTATATAATCCTATATAATAAATAGGTAATATGCAAATTGACCATCATTCCAACACACAAGATGGCTGACCCCATGTGGACACAAGATGGCCACCACAAGATAGCCAGCAGGGGAGGGTAGTTGGGGGGAAGCAGGCCTGCAGGGGAGGGCAGTTGGGGACAACCAGGCCTGCAGGGAAGGGCAGTTAGGAGTGACCAAGCCTGCAGAGAAGGGCAGTTGGGGGGGGGGGGGGACACCAGGCCTGCAGGGGAGGGCAACTAGGGGCAACCAGGCCAGCAGGGGAAGGTAGTTGTGGGTGATCAGGCCTGCAGGGGAGGGTAGTTGGGAGGGACCAGGTCTGCAGGGGAGGGCAGTTGGGAGAGACTAGGCCAGCAGGGGAGGGCAGTTAGGGGCAACCAGGCTGGCAAAAGAGGACAATTAGGGGTGACTGGTCCAGCAAGGGAGGGCAGTTAGGGTCAATTAGGCTGGCAAAGGAGTGGTTAGCCTGCAGGCGTCTTCAAACTATGGCCCTCGGGCCACATGCGGCCCACAGAGGAGTCTGATCCGGCCCGCCAGGTTTTTTGGGCAGTGAGCGCAGCCGAGGTGTTACAGTAGAATTAGTAGTTCATATAGTCCGGCCCTCCAGCTCTCTGAGGGACCGTGATCTGGCCCCCACTTTAAAAAGTTTGAGGACCCCTGGTAGAGGGTGATCAGGCTGGCAGGCAGAAGCAGTTAAGGACAATTAGGCAGGCAGGCAGACGATCAGTTGAGGGCCAGCAGTCCTGGATTGAGAGAGGATTGTCTGACTGCCCATTTAGGTGGAATCAGCCCTAAACAGGCAGTGGGACATCCCTCAAGGGGTCCCAGATTGGAGAGAGTGCAGGCTGGGCTGAGAGATACACATAACCCCCCTTGTGCATGAATTTTGTTCACAGAGCCTCTAGTTTATATATAAAATAGAAGTGGGAAATCCTGTAGATGTCCCTCCCTTCCTACTCCCTTCTGATATCTGTCAGTCTGTACTATGCATCCAGGCCTCTGGTTCTGTTTTGCTCATTAGTTTATTTTGTTCATTAGATTCCACATACAAGTGAGATCATAAGGTTCTCTGGCTGGCTAATTTCACTTAGCATAATAATCTCAAGTTCATACATGCTATCATGAAAGATAAGAGTTCCTTCCTTTTTACAATCACATATTATTCCCTTGTATAAATATATCAGTTTTTCCCCCCACTCATCTACTGAAGGGCAACTTGAGCTATTTCCAGATCTTAGCTATTGTAAACAATGCTGCTATGAACATAGGGGTGCATATATTCTTTCTGATTGGTGTTTCAGTTTTCTTAGGATAGATTCCCAGAAGTGGAGTAACTGAGTCAAACAGCAGTTCCATTTTTAATTTTTTGAGGAAACCCTGTATTATTTTCTACAGTGGCTGCATCTATCTGCTTCCTACCAACAGTGGACTAGGGTTCCCTTTTCTTCACATCCTCACCAGCACTTGTTTGTTGATTTATTGATGGTAGCCATTCTGGCAAGTGTAAGGTAAAAAAAAAAATTAAAAAATAATAATAAAAGAGCATAGGAAAAAGAAAGATAATTTTTTTTTTCATGTGAAGACCTAGGAAGGAAAGATTTGGAAGCAGACCAATGACTACAGGTGACCATCATTAATGCACTAGATATGTTCCTCAAAAGTTATATAGAAATTGGATTTTTATCTCCCACCTCTAATTTTCAAGATTTATACAGGACCAAAGCTGAAAAATGAAAATCATAGTTCCAACTCTTATTTGCTGTCAAAATCTTCCTATCCCCAGCGATGTACAGTCTACATGCCCTCAGCTGTTCCCATACACAATACCCAATACCTGTTACAGACAATCTCCAATGTCCTAAATGCATAGTGAGGCATGAGTGCCTCCCTGATGACTTGTTATAATTTTTTAAAAATGTTTAAAATGTACTAAATCCACATCTGTGCTTCCTTCATTATATATCCCATGCTAAACTCATGTCGTTGATAATGAGTCATTATTTTATCTGCTTTTCAATCTCTTAAAACATTTCATAATTTTAGATGTTTCTTTCACATGTTGTGGGGAGGGGTCTTATAGAGGGTCACCTCCCCTCCCCCACACACACAGGAAACAGTGTGGCATTCACAGCAGCTGAAGCCAGGTCTTGGGAGACTTCCTGCTGAGAGGCTGAATGCAATGTCTGTCTGCCACAAGCTGGCACAGGTGGTTAACTAGAAGGGCTCACTATCACTCTTGGCTGCGAGAGCTCATAAGAAGAATGGGTCCTCGTCTCCCCTGGCAGATGGCTGTGTAAACAGTCAGGAATTGCAACCCATAAATTCCACTGAGTCTTTCCTAAGGAGAAAATCCACTAAGAGAAAAACAAGAAACATGAAACTCCAGGTATGGTGTCCCAAATTGTACAACAACTTAAATATTCAGCCATAGGATTGAGTCATCAATTTGCTAGTGTGTTAAATACAGACAAATAAAAACTTTAAGGTGTAAATATTGGAAGTGATATAAAAAGTGTTTGTAAAATAATATTAACTTAAAGAAACAGAACAAGGCCACCACCCTATTCTTCTAGTTAGTCTAACTCCCACGGAAAGGACTGTGTTATTTTCTTGAAGTTTTCCTCTAAGCAATTATGTTTGTTATTCAATGGGGTTTTTAAGGTTCTTCTTACCATCATCTTTTTTTGTTCTTCCCTGGCACACCAGCATCCAGAATATTCCATCTCTCTTCACAATATCACCTGAAAGTCCTCAAGAAATATACTCAAAAAATAAACGTGCCCAGGCCCTGAGTTTATATCTCAAAACATATGTATCTGGCACCGTGATGGAAAGGCCTCTGCCATGAACAAAACCTCCTTTGGAGAGTCTGAGCACCTGTCTTCGCACTAGTAGTGAGCTGCACAAAGAAGACATTTACAAAACCTGATTCAGTCTCGTTCAGGTGGACAAGAGGCCAAATCCTGAGATGCTACACAGGGGTCTCACCAAGATTCCCAAGTAACTACATAGAAAGGAAAGCTTTCTGGAACCCACTCCAGCGTCTTACACACAGTAAATATTCAATAAATGAAAGTTAGGTTTTTTACTACATTGTACGTAAAGGGCTCTTTCCACAAATGCCATTCCAGTGTCCCTCTCCCCTGCCTGGACTCAAATCTATTCTCCTATTTCAGACTGTGATCTCCTCCTGCCCTCCCTTTCTCTTTTCCTTTTCTTGTTCTTCTTTAAAAATCAGTTTGACAAGTCTAGCTATACTTTAAGGAAAAAAAATTGGTGGGAAACTTCTCTTGTTTGTTTTTTTTTTTCAAGAAGATTCCTGAGACAAAAAACTTGTTAAGTCCTCCCCCAGCTGGTTCACTCTGGTTCAGGGATATGAAGAGCTGACAATTTATAAAGGACTCAGCTGTTAGGGCTGAGGGGGTGGAGAAGCAGCTGGAATGGGGACAGTTTCTTTTTCATTGTTTCTACTAGAATAAGAACCAAACAAATTTACATCTCAAAAGAGGGACTTCTCACCAAAATAAATACTTAATTCTTACTACAAGATTAATATTCATTTTTTATAAAAGAAAAAGACAAATTAAAGAAATAGCTGTGTGCCTGGCCAGTGTGGCTCAGTGGTTGAGTGTAGACCTATGAACCAAGAGGTCACTGGTTAGATTCCCAGTCAGGGCGCATGCCGGGGTTGTGATCTTAATCCCTAGTGGGCGAAGTGCCGTGTGGGAGCCAGCCAGTGTTTCTCTCTCATCCAGGTTTCCCTCTCCCTCTCCCCCGCCCTTCCTTTCTCTAAAAAATTGATGAAAACATATTTTGAAAGAAGAATAATGTATGTGTTGAAAATATAAATAACTATAGCCTCAACCTATAGAAATTACCACTGTTAACTGCTCAACATTTATACTTTCCATTTTACATGTGTTCATGGTCAATGGAAAAAAAAAACTCTAGAGAGATGTGAGGCACTCACATTATTTTCAACAAAGAACAAGCGTTTCTCAAAGTCACTGCAAAAGGAGGTATTTCTGTTTCTTCAGGGAGAAAAAAGAGAGAGGGGGGGGGAGAGAGAGAGAGAGAGAGAGAGAGAAAGTCTCCTAATGTAATTCAGTTGAGCTCCTCCCATTTCTGACCTGTGAGTCATGGTAAACCCTCCAGAGAGCTCCTGCAGTGACTTGACCTCCCACAGATGCTGCCAGTTTGAAGCATCCACTGAGTAATGGAAGTTCACCCTTGAGGAATCCACAGGAAACGATGATTGTCAGGTTCATCTTCACTTCACTCCTAGCCCTGGCCCTCTCAGGTGAGTGTCCCATCCTGCACCCCCAGTTGCCCTCCTGGACCTGACAGCTAGATTGACACTTGGCTGCTGTGTGTTTTTATGTTGCAGGGTCTGAGAGAGCAGACCGGATCGAATCCCAGGAGACAGAAGTGTCTGCCACGGAGGGAGGGAGTGTGAAGCTCCTTTGTAATTATCATACTTCTAGAGGCGCTGTTGATCTCTACTGGTTTCGACAGTACCCAAACCGGGCACCGGAATTTATTCTCTACAGAGGGTGGGGGTATACTGGAAAAGGAGACGCGGATTTTGCCAAAGAAAAGTTTTATTCAAACAGCACAGCAGATACAATCTATTTGTACTTCAGACAACTGGAGTGTGCAGACACTGCCCTGTATCACTGTGCCCTGAGGAAACCACGCTGAGAGCACTGCATAGAGCAGCTGTACAAGAACACCAGCGCACAGGAGGGAGGGAGGGGAACGTGGAACACGGACTTTGGTGTTTTTGTTTTGTGAGATTCAGCATAAAAGGTAGGAGATATTGGTTCAGGAGAGTTCTGTTCTAACTATATAATAGCAATATAATTTCCAGGCAAATAAATAACTTAAGTTTTAAGATCCCATTTTCTAAAATTAAAGATGATAACTCAAGCTCTTAGGAGGCATGGCTTTAAAGTGCACGTGCTGGATACTCGGCAAATGGGAGGCATCTTTTATTCTCTTTCTCAATATCTACTTTCTTTGGTCTCCAGGGGCCTTTCTGGGGGCATCTGAGGATCTTTTACACCACACTGGAAAAAATAATAGCAATCATTAAAAACATAAAAATACACATCCGGGACTCAGAAAAGGCCTCTTTGACCTGGGATCTCTGGTCATCACGCCAGAGGTTGAAAGGTGTGCTCAGCAAGGCCAGCCACTAGAGGACAAATTGCCTTGAAGCCCTCCCTCATTTCTGAGCTCCCAGCTACAGGCACTTGGGCATTTCTCATGATGTGGACAAGAACAGAGGCTCATTTCTCACAAGTCTGAAGGGAAGAGGAGAAGCACAAAGTTCTGCATCAGGTGGTGGGTGAGGAAAGAAAAATTGCCTCCGTGACTATTACCTGCTCCTGGGCAGCTCTTCCCTTCCAGGTGGGGATGAGAGGCCGAGTGAGGTGGAATGTGGGGCTGACTGTGAGGCCACAGGATACCTGCCACCCATTCAATGACTCAAGCTATGCTTCTAACGGGCGGCTAGCATCCAGCCAGATCTGTGCCAAGCCTAGCTTCTTTGTTTGCACTGATGTTGAGTGGGATGGAAGAGAGGAAGGGAAATTTAGAGCCTCGTTCAGCACACAGTCTGCTGCAGCACCAGCACCCTATGGCTTCCAGGCTGGAAACCTCGGGCTTCTGAGGCTCCCGGGGAAGCCTGGCCCAGCCCCACTGCCTGAGGAATGATTGCACCAGCCAGTAAGAGGGGCTTGGAAACAAGACAGCAAGTCAGGTTGTTAAACAATGTTTTCTTCTACAAAAGGAAACTTGAGTCCAAATAAACACTGACAAATACTGTGGCTAGAAAATAAATTTCAAAGTTCTGTTTCAAGTTAACTTAAAAGAAATGAGTTGTGGGGAAACTGGTGTTCAGGAGGCATAAAATGATTTAAGGAGAGTGATATGTAACTTTTCTTAGCTTCTGTTTGTGGGAAATTGTTATTTTTATATCGCAATATAATGTAGTGGTATAACCCTCTGCATAGCGACCTACCACCCTTTACATAGTGACCTACTTGCAAAGGGATTTTAAAATTCATTGCCTAGTCCATATCTTTGATTTGTTTCTCAGAATTTACATTGAGTACTGATTTTAAAGAGAAAAACAACTTTTGGGCAAGATAAATCACTACTAAAATGTTTTCAGCCTTTTACAGGAATCTGAATGCTGTACAACCATTTCAGGCGCTAGCCAGTAAAAGTAACAATGTGGAAATGCTCTTCACGGAGAGTTAAGTAAAATATAGAGCACATCTTGGTAACCATGCTAGGCTTACATTCATACTAAACAAGTGCTCTGCACTGCAAATACTTTGCAGGTAATCCAACTTAGTTTCTCTCTTGGTTTCTGTAACATACAGGTGGGAAGATATTTCAAGTGATTTTTCAAAGTTCAGGAGCCTCCAGGGATGGACGGTTTTCTGTGAACTTGCAAAAAGCAGCCAGGACTGTTTATCTCACCATCTCAGCTGTGAGGCCAGGAGTTGAGAGGGGTGAGGGGGGTGTTTCTGTGCACTCAGAATGCCAGCAGTAAGAGGAACAAGAACTGTAAGAACAAAACCTCAGAGCTTGAACCCCATTCCCCTGCTACAGGCATGAGGGGAAGACCCATCGACCCCAAATGGAAAAGATTAGAAACTGTGGGCAGCTTAACTGAAGGCTGGGAAGGTCATGGGTAACTGTGCTGTAGGCAAAGCCATCTTCAAGTACAGTCACTGAATGTTTTTAATCCACGGTCCTAAATTTCACTCTCACCTTGAAATGTAGCAGATTTTTGTAGAGCAGTCTTTGCTTTTAATCTAATTCTTTTCTTTTTTTCTTTAAACTTCTGATATAGTCCAATTATGAAAGCAACACTGCTTATTATAATAAATGAAACAATACAAAGATATATGAAGGAAAAGTTAATACTCATCCACTCTCTTGTCCCTATGATGTAAAAATTTAAATTATCTGGTGATTGTCTTCACCATTATTCTAACTCATTTATTTTAACTAATGTCTATTTGTTCACTGTATGGATGAACCATGATCCTTTCAAGTACTTCTTTATTGGTAGATATTCAGTTTTGTTAAGTCAGGACTATGGCTGTGATAAATAACTATATTCGTATAGTTTATATCTTTAGGGTAGATTTCTAAAAGTTGGATTAGTCAATAAAAGGATATCTCTACCTTTATTTTTAACAGATATTTTTTATTCCTTTCAAATAAATTTACAGCATTTCACACTCTCACTAGTAATATGTGTGAATATCTTTTTTTTTTTCTTCTTCTCACTAGTTTTGAACAGAGAACTGCCCTGCCTAGTACTCAGCTGGTTGGATCATCGTCTCATACACCAAAAGGTTACCGGTTTGATTTCTGGTCAGGGCACATTCCTAGGTGGCAGGTTTGATTCTAGCTGGGGTGAGTACAGGAGGCAACCCATTGACGTTTAGCTTTCCCATTAATGTCTCCCTCTCTCCCTTTCCCTCTCTCTAAAATCAATAAAAACATATCTCAGGCATGGGTTGAGTGGGGGAAGAAAGAGAGAGAGGGGAGAGAGAGAGACCTTTTGTTAAGGCCTTTGTATACATTTTTGAGATTCTATTGGGTGGTGGAGATATTGCCTGGAAGCCACAGATGCCACACCTCCTCCTAAGTCCCCTTGCTTATTAAAGCTGCCACCAATCCGGTGTGATCTTCCTCTTCTGTCTCTCCTTGCCCTCCATGAGCAGGGGCCAGTTTCAGACTTCACCCAAAAAGTTCCCAAGGTTTTGACCCAACCCTGCCTCACTGAAGAATAGTTCCCATGATTCATGCCTATAAAAATACCCCTAGATTTTTAGCCATTTTGATTTTCACTTCATTTTGTCATTTGTCATTTTTATTTTTATAATAAAATCCTTTAACCTTCTGGAAATTGTCTTTATACATGCAAGCTATTTTGGCCTGCCGCAATGTTTTGGCATATTTTGTATAACCAGATAGTATATGTCCTTACTAAGAACTTTACCTGCTTCCACACTTACAGAAAGTGTAAGAATCACAGCAGACTGGGTACTGGTGAAAACAATGACAAAAGTCTACAGTTCCAACTAAAAAAGAGAAATTCTTGGCCCTTCTGCTTGGTTAGAGAGGCCAAACCAGTTTGACTGTAGTTAACCAAGGAGATATGAGAGGGAACATGGGGAGCACACAGAAGTGCCCTTTTGGGGGAAAGCAAGCCTCCTGCAGAAGGAAGGTATATAAGTTAATCCACTCCTTCTTATATGACTGGAGGGACCTAGTCCAGCCTCCAGCCTCTTCACTAAGTTGAGGTTTGGCAGAGAATGTCAGCTTCTTGAGGCAAAAATAATTAAATGCAGGAGAAAGACAGAGGAGCTAAAGGAAGGAACAGTAGGCTACATTCCCACCTGCTTTTTATGAAGCAGTTTTCCTGAAATGGTCTAGGTTCTGAACCAAGAGCTGTACCTGCACCTGTCTATAAGATCTGCCACGTGGTAGAAGCCCCTCACAGCAAAAGGCTGTGAAGTGGTCTGCGTGTGGGTTTGGTGAGGAAAGCTTTGCCCCTGGGACCGATCACTCCTTCCAGGAAACCGCACCGTCTGACAAAACCACTGACACCCTCACGGGAAAGCAAGCATTTGGATACTTGCCAGCCTGTCCAGACAGAGATAAGAACCGAGGAAGAGAAGGAAGCTCTCCTCCACGCCTTGGGGGTGCTCACATGAAGGAAGAGCAGTCTCAGCCAAGGAAACGAGACTCCCGAGCCCAGGAGAGAGTGAATGCAGGGCCCTTCATGTCTCCCTCTGCCCAAGCTCAGAGGGTGACGAGGGATGACTGTGAAAGAGCAGCACAGGCCACCTGTCACTAGAGCCACTGGAGACTTCTTGGATGGAGGGCAGAACAATGACCATCAAGGTTCAAAATTGATACATGAATGTGCATTTGGAGCAAAACTGCTTTAATGACTAAAACAAACAGAAAAGATAACCTGTTTCCCAATGGAAAAGAGAGGACTGATAAAGCAAAGCAGGAATTAGCATGTTTTCATTCAAGATAACTGCTGAATTTATGTGAGATTTTACCATTCTCTGGACCTGTAACTGTTGTGGTTTAGCTATGTTTCCACCTACTTATCTGCTCTTCAGAATATTGAATTACCATAAGCATAAGTCAGATTGTCCTTAGACATAAAGGCTAAACTCGAATTTACCCCTTTCCCCCATGTCTTTAAAAAAAAAAATCATCACAAGCATGGTGTCTAATTTGGTTTATTCTTTGAAAAGCAGGGTTTGGTGTATATAAAACAGAAGGTTCTTCAGGCAGCAATATGCTAAATTTTAGGCATCTTGAAGGCCCATTTTTCTACTATTTGGTGTGGGTTTTGAGAATCAAGTAAGCACATAAAAAGTACATATCAACACTATAATAAAACTAACATGGTTATTCTACCTTTTAGAGAATTAGACCTATTTCTACATCATTGTGAAAGTCACTCTTTAAAATTAGAAACTGAGAACAGTGAGGAAGTGAAATCTATTTTATCAATTAAAAAGCTATCTGTAACATTATTCGATGATGGATGAAGTGAGAGATGTGAAAACTTGCAATCAAAGTTTGCATTTCTTATTTTCAACAAATATGTATGATCTATCCAGGCAAAGCAACCAGGAGAGTTAGAGTAATCCCAGTCACCATTGTTCCAGGAAAGATTTTCTTGGTACAGATGTTGGGTGATATTTTACACTCATTTAGGATCTTGAATGGTGAAAGAGACCCAGAACAATTTGACAAAAAGAGAGAAGAAACAGGAATAATCCATAGACAGAGAAGAGCTCTCCAAAGGGACACACTCAAGATTTGCCTTAATAGATCTTTAAAGCTAAAATTTGAAAGTTATTAGAATGGCTTCATTATCTCTCAAATGAAAAACCGTTGCAGGAACACTCTTGTCCTTTTATTAAGAGCCTGACTTTTATTATTAAAATTTGCATTCATAGTTTGAATTGATTATCTACTATTCTGCATCTTAAGTATATCACACTTAATTTCATAATTTTCTTTTTTGAATATTTTATTATTTCCCATTTTAATTTATTTAAATTGTATTATGGTAAACAACTTAAACACAAATTTGAATTTCCTTTTTTTTTCTTTATTGGTTAAGGTATTAAAAATGTGTCCTTATACCCCCTTTGTATCCCCACTTCCCCACTCATGCCCTTGCCCCCCTGGTGTCTGTGTCCATTGGTTAGACTTATTTGCATGTGTACAAGTCCTTTGGTTGATCTCTCCCCCTCACCCCCATCCTCCCCTACCTTCCCTCTGAGGTTTGATGGTCTGATCAATGTTTCTCTGTCTCTGGATCTGTTTTGTTCATTATTTTATGTTGTTCATTATATTCCACAAATGAGTGAGATCATGTGATCAATTTCTCATAATTTCATTAGGACAGCATCCTAGAACTGGAATTAGTGGTTCAACAGTTTACAGTCTTTTTGTTTTCGGTCTCTCTTTTCATTCCTACCGTGTTTCCCTGAAATAAGACATCCTCTGAAAATAAGACCTACTTACAGGTTTCCTTCTGAATGAAATATAAGGCATCCCCTCAAAAATAAGGCCCCCCCTAGGCTAAACATGAGAGATTTGGTCCACTGATTCTGAAAGAAATGGAGTCACAAGTAATTCACCAGGAAATTCAGGGATTGGAATGTTATGATGATGTTCCAGAAGATGTTGACATGATTGTCATTGAATAAATTGATACTGTAGGATTCACAGTTTGTCTGGTTTGTGTTGACAACTACCGGACTACCATTACCGTATACAGGTAATAAATTTCCTTTATTTTCATTTAACAATAAATGTGTACTGTATTCTTCTTCATGGAAAAATAAGACACCCCCTGAAAATAAGACCTAGCTCATCTTTGGCAGCAAAAATTAATATAAGACACTGTCTTATTTTCGGGGAAACAGGATAACAAAACTTCTATAAAAGGTTTTCTAAATTAATTATCTGTATGCTCTCTCTTTTTAATATATACATATATACATATATATAATATATAAATTTTATTGATTTCAGAGAGAGAAAGGGAGAGGAAGAGAGAGATAGAAACATCAATGATGAGAGAGAACCATTGGTTGGCTGCTTGCTGCACACCCCTACTGGGGATCAAGGCCAAAACCTGGGCATGTGCCCTTGACTAGAATTGAACTTGAGACCAATTAGGCCATAGATTGAAGGTCTATCCACTGAACAAAACCAGCTA